TGTGTTGAGGGCATGGAGAGAAGCAATGCAATACCAATGAAAACTGCAATTCCTGACCTTCACCCGAAATTGAAGGTTGCTTGTTGTAGCCTACCTAATTCTAGACTTCTAGTTCCATGGAGTTCCTGCACAATGAAAAGCAAAGAAGTACAAACACTTTTAAGATCGTGGTGTGTCCGTGTCAAACACCGCCACTGGTAGGACACATGTCCAAACACATCCTATCATTTTTAAATTTTTTTACACCCGAACAAACTTTGGATACTTAGGGAAGACGTGTTCATCACTTAGACACACATGAAACATACTACAAATTTAAACAAAATAACTTTAGCTCAAATGATAAAAATACTATGTAAAATTATATCTATTAATCCCCTTCCTTTAAATTTTAAACTTTAAAACTAGTGTTGTGTTTATATTTTTCATTATCTTTAAATGAAATATTCATATATATGACATATAATAAAGGAGAAAATTAATCAATGTTAACCCATTGTGATTTGGCCTCAGGGCCTGTTTGATTGGTTGGAGTAATAGTGATAGGATTAATAATCCATGGGATTAACCATTGGATTGACTGTCCAACTCAATTAGTAGAATAAATATGTGTGGGATTATGAATGCCTACCTTCGTATGGTATTGAATATCTTACGATTTTGTGGGATTAGAAGTCCTACGTATTACTAAGCCTGCCATCATTTATGTCATAACTACCAAAGCGCATTGGAGATTGGAACTTGATTATCAGTTCCTGTTCAATATGCACAATTTAAATCAAAACATATTTATTTTGACTATATGTGAGAAACAAATATGGTTGTACCTCTTCGGCTATTATCTCCTCTTCCTCCTCTTCATTTTTGGCATCCTCTTCATCCTTTTCAGCCTCTGCCACCACCTTCTTATTCTCCAACTGCTCCAATGCCGCCTTCGCCTTGTGATAATTCACCACAATCTTTCGGCTCCGCCATTGCTCTTTGTGGCGGCACCCAAAATCCTCCATCAACGCCTCCTCCTTCCCCCTCTCCCACTCCATCCTCTCCTCTTCCCTCTTCCTCTTCTCCTTTCTCGAGTCCTCCCGACCAATCCCAACTCGAGTTCATCGAATCTCAAGCCCCACGAGCTCCGCAAGACCAGAACCTTCCTTCCCCAGCGTGGACCCTGGTGTGTAACCCATCTGTTTCAACAACTTGAAACCAATGTTGGATTGGGGAATCGCTGATTCTAAGCTTGCTAGGGTATTTCGGTCCTCTTCTTCTTGCCTATTTTCTCTCTTGAGTTTTCGTTGTTCTTGCCAGTTTAGGGTTTTGGGTTTCTTAGCTGAAGGTTGGGAAATTTGGGTATTGTTGGCAGAGACCTGAATGTAATTATTGTTATTGTTGTTCAGAACGTATGTATCTATATCTATTGTGAAGATATATCTATATCTATATACATATACATTTGAAACTTGGAACTAACCTTTACCGAAGATTTTGAGGGGGCAATGGTTTCGGGAGGAAGGAACTGAGAGAGGTCGCCTATGTAATCTTCTTCTTTTTCTTCTTCTTCTTCGTCAGACGGTTGTTTGTTTGTTGTTTCTGCCATCGGTGAGAGAGCTTGGGATAGAGACTCTAGTCTATTCTTGTTTATTTTTTATTGGGTAAATTACACTGATACCCTCCGAGATTTATGTTTAATACAGTTCCTTCCTCACTTTTTGAAAACTACATCTCTCCCCTAAGGTTTAAAGTTTCATTACAAATTCCCCCCAACCTTTTTAATTTTTTTAAATACCAATTTTACCCTCATTGGGTAAATTACATTGACACCCCTCATATTTTAGAAATTACAATCCTCTTCCTAATGTTTAAAGTAATATTACCAATTGCTCCCTCAGTTAGTATTAGTTGGAGAAAAAATTCATTGAAAAAAAAAATTTAATTAGAAAAAGTTTAATTGAAAAAAAAATTGTTAGTAAAATTTTTAAATTTTTGTTTAAAAACCAACGTAAACTCATTTTTTGAATTTACATTTTTTTCTCAAATTTACAAACTGAGACAACCATTTATAAACCAAAAAAATTATCAAACAAGTTTTCCTGATAGTTTTTTAAATTTTTATAAATATAAATTGAAAATTGAAAACGAAATGGTTACCAAACAGGTTTCAGATGGTAAAAATGTCGTAGAATTAACAAATAATTAAATAAGTTACCAACATAAGAAATAACTTATCAAAAGATTCTTAGACTATGTATGGTTTGATTTTTAGAATTTTTTTTTTTAAAATTAAAAATTAATTTGGTTAAGAAATAAAAAATAAAAATAATTTTCATTTCGTTTAAAAAATAATTTATTTTTTATTTTTTATTTCTTAACCAAATTAATTTTTAATTTTAAGAAAAAATCTAAAAACAAACCATACATAGCTTAAGAATCTTTTGATAAGTCATTTCTTACGTTGATAACTTATTTAACTATTTGTTAATTTTATGACATTTTTACCATCTGAGACCTATTTAGTAACCATTTCGTTTTCAATTTTCAATTTATATTTACAAAAATTTAGAAAAATGTCATAAAAACTTGTTTAATTATTTTTTTGGTTTATAAATAGTTGTCGTAGTTTGTAAATTTGAGAAAAAAATATAAATTTAAAAAATGAGTTTACGTTGATTTTTAAACAAAAATTTAAAAATTTTACTAATAAATTTTTTTTTTCAATTAATTTTTTTCCAATTAATATTTTTTTTTCAATGAATTTTTTTTCCAACTAATACTAACTGAGGGGGCAATTAGTAATGCTACTTTAAACCTTAGGGAGGGGATTGTAATTTCTAAAATGTGAGGAGTGTCAATGTAATTTATCCAATGAGGGTAAAATTGGTATTTAAAAAAATTAAAAGGGCTGAGGGAGAAATCTATAATGAAACTTTAAACCTCAGGGAGAGATGTAATTTCTAAAAGATGAGGAAAAACTGTAATAAACATAAACATCAGAGTGTGTCAGTATAATTTACCCTTTTTTTATTTTTGTCTGTTGTTTGTATTTTTGTCAAATTCCTCCAGACTTAGTTTTTATTTTATTTATTTATTTTTTATTTGTCTTTTAGTGAGTTTGGTTTGATTGATGTGGCATTAGCCACATCATGCGGGGTCATTCTGTGGGTTTTAAAAGTGTGGGGCTGAAACATTTTTCTTGTTTAAATTTTTAAATCAACTTCTTGCTCATTAATTTGGACAATCATTTTAAATTAAGCTTAGCGAAGCTGAAATTAAAATAAAATAAAATAAAATATTAATGACTGAAATGATGAATTTAATAATTAAAATTAAAAATAATAATTAATTTTATTTTTATCCCTTAAACTATTACTGATTTTATATTGATTTTTCTATTTAATCTCTAAAGTTTCTTTTTTCTATTCATGGTAAAAAGTTTTACAACTTAATTGTGGGGTATATTTTATTTAAATAATAAAGAAATGAGTATTTTGTTGTAAGACTTAGATTGCAATTTTTTTTTTGGGGGGGTAATAAATTAGGCTTCATGGGCTATTAATTTATGTAATCATTTTTATTTGGCTAATATGAATATGAATTAAAAACTTTGGATAAATTACACTGATACTCCTGAGATTTCTATTTAATACAAATTCTTCTTTATATTTGAAAAATTACATTCTCCTCTTTAAAATTTGTAATCTCATTACACATTACTCCCTAAATTGCTGATTTCATGCTCTAAATTTTTCTAAATGACCATTTTACCATTTTTCGTATCATTTCTTTTACCTATCATCATGACTACATTCTACAATTTTCTATCATTAAATTTTACTTAAACATATTCTTATTGAGTAATAATATACAAATATAAATTTTAGGGCAAATTACAAATACCCCTCGAGGTTTGGTGAAAATACAGATTCCCCCCATGAGGTTTGAGAAATTACAAATTGCCCCTGAGGGTCAAATTTTCATAACAAATTAGGAAAATTTAGGGGGGAATCTGTATGAAAATAAAAACCTCAGGGGGCAATTTGTTATGGAAATATAAACCTCAAGGGGCGGAATGTAATTTCTCAAACCTCAGAGGGGAATCTGTATTTTCACCAAACCTCGAGAGGGGTGTTTGTAATTTGCCCTAAATTTATATTGAATTTTCATACACAATGATATAATTTAATGGCGACCTTTCACTTTAAAACCAAACAACCATAAACATGATTTATATTTACAACAATACCACTATCACTACATTTTTATGATTTTTTTTTGTATAAATTTTTATAAATAAAAATAAATTTTTATTTTTATTTCCACCGTTATATTTAAATTAGATCAATTTAATCTAAATATATTCAAAAAGTATAAAACTTGTACAAAACATTTTTCAAAAAATCAATTGAATACAATAAAATAAGATAATGTATTGAATTTTTGTATTTTTATATTTTTTGTATTTGGTGAATTTTAAAAAAAAATTATAAAATATTATACTTCTTAAGTATATCTAGATTAGGTGTATTTAAAAAATAAAAAATTACTTAAAATATTAAAAAAATCAATAAAAATAAAAAATAAGAAAAACTTAATTTTTTTTTGTGAGTTAAATTAAAGAATATGATTATTATTTCTTTTGAAATGACATAAATACAATATCTATATTACTTTATTATTTTATGTGTATAAATGTTAATGGGAAAATATGTCATTCTAATTTGATAAGAGAGTGAGTGTAATTTTTCAAATGTAAGTGAGAATCTATATTAAATAAAAACCTCAAGGGGTCACTGTAATTTATCCTAAAAACTTTAAGGATAAATAGATAAAATTGAAAGTTTAGGAGTAAAATAAAAAAAAATGAGAATAGTAGAAGAGATAAAAGTGAAAATTAATAATAATAATAATAATAAAAAGTTAAAGGACAAAAAAAAGTGAAATTATTTTTTTATTTTATTTTTGTGTAGATTGATGGTGAATTAAACCTTAAAAAATAAAAAATAAAAAAGGGAGGAGGCGAGGAGGAGGAGGAGGAAAGCAAGAACAGACTAGAGTCTCTCTCCCAAGCTCTTTCACCAATGGCAGAAACAACAAACAAACAACCGTCTGACGAAGAAGAAGAAGAAGATTACATGGGAGACCTCTCTCAGTTCCTTCCTCCCGAAACCACTGCCCCCTCAAAATCTTCGGTAAAGGTTAGTTCCAAGTTTCATATGTATATGTATATAGATATAGATATATCTTCCCAATAGATATAGATACATACGTTCTGAACAACAATAACAATAATTACGTTCAGGTCTCTGCCAACAATACCCAAATTTCCCAACCTTCAGACAAGAAACCCAAAACCCAAAACTGGCAAGAACAACAAAAACTCAAGAGAGAAAAAAGGCAAGAAGAAGAGGACCGAAATACCCTAGCAAGCTTAGAATCAGCGATTCCCCAATCCAACATTGGTTTCAAGTTGTTGAAACAGATGGGTTACACCCCAGGGTCCACGCTGGGGAAGGAGGGTTCTGGTCTTGCGGAGCCCGTGGGGCTTGAGATTCGGCGGACTCGAGCTGGGATTGGTCGGGAGGACTCGAGAAAGGAGAAGAGGAAGAGGGAAGAGGAGAGGATGGAATGGGAGAGGGGGAAGGAGGAGGCGTTGATGGAGGATTTTGGGTGCCGCCACAAAGAGCAATGGCGGAGTCGGAGGATTGTGGTGAATTATCACAAGGCGAAGGCGGCATTGGAGCAGTTGGAGAATAAGGAGGTGGTGGCACAGGCTGGCAAGGATGAAGAGGATGCCGAAAATGAAGAGGAGGAAGAGGAGATAATAACCGAAGAGGTACGACCATATTTGTTTCTCACATATATACATGATTGTGTTTTATTTGTGTGTACTTTAGCTAATTTTGCTGCTCCTATACATATAGGCAAAATAAATATGTTTTGATTTAAATTGTGCATATTGAACATGAATTGGTAATCAAGTTCCAATCTCCAATGCGCTTTGGTAGTTATGACATAAATGATGGTAGGCTTAGTAATACGTAGTACTTCTAATCCCACAAAATCGTGAGATATTCAATACCATACGGAGGTAGGCATTCATAATCTCACACATATTTATTCTACTAATTGAGTTGGACAGTCAATCCAATGGTTAATCCCATGGATTATTAATCCTATCACTATTACTCCAACCAATCAAATAGGCCCTGAGGCCAAATCACAATGGGTTAACATTGATTAATTTTTTCCTTTATTATATGTCATATATATGAATATTTCATTTAAAGATAATGAAAAATACAAACACAACACTGGTTTTAAAGTTTAAAATTTAAAGGAAGGGGATTAATAGATATAATTCTACATAGTATTTTTATCATTTGAGTTAAAGTTATTTTGTTTAAATTTGTAATATGTTTCATGTGTGTCTAAGTGATGAACACGTCTTCCCTAAGTATCCAAAGTTTGTTCGGGTGTAAAAAAATTTAAAAATGATAGGATGTGTTTGGACATGTGTCCTACCAGTGGCGGTGTTTGACACGGACACACCACGATCTTTAGAAGTGTTTGTACTTCTTTGCTTTTCATTGTGCAGGAACTCCATGGAACTAGAAGTCTAGAATTAGGTAGGCTACAACAAGCAACCTTCAATTTCGGGTGAAGGTCAGGAATTGCAGTTTTCATTGGTATTGCATTGCGTCTCTGCATGCCCTCAACACACAAGGCAATCTGGGTTCTCAACAACACTTCCTCTCCTAGGGCTCTCTCTCTCTCTCTCTCTCTCTTGATTTGTCTTTATTTTATTTTTGTGCTTGGGTACAAAGCAAAGCAGAATATCACTTCAATGAATGAATGCTTGAGAGCTTTATGAAAGTTATTGCTAACAGATTTAGGGTTTGACCTGACACTTAATACTTTGTTCAGATATTTAATCCAGAACCTAGTTCTATCAATTTGATCCAGTACCCATGCTTGATTCTTTTACAAAACCTCCAGTTTAGTTGATGAGGATATTCAAGTGTGATTCTAAAGTGGCCCTCGTCCTACAGGTTCCCCTTTTCTCTACAATAACACAAATATTGCTTCCTCATGTTCGGTTTTTGAACTAGTAGGGTTCTTACATATTTTTGTTTTATTTTTGGGTTAAAGTGTATATCTCTTGACGAACCAAGATTTTTTTTTCCCAACTATTTATTCCAATTTTTGTGTTATCCAATTAATACCATCGCATCACACCCCAGTTTTAAATACGATGCAATTGGAATTGGAGGTATAATTTTTTACTTTAATTCCTGTTCCGCAATAAGACTGTTATAAAGATATGGTTTTGTTCTACAAATGTCTCATGTTTTCTTAGGCAGGCAAAAGGATATTTTGTGATGGCTGCCTCTTTTTTTTTTTTGGGTTCTTTTTTCTCCTTTCTCTCCCTTGGTCCAATGATTGTGACTCTAAATGACCAATGTTAGCCTCCCCTTGCTATGAAGACCGTTCAAATTTCAACCAAATTGAAAGTAGGACTTGATGAGCTAGCTAGCATCTTCAAGTTGCAACGTTTTCTTAATAGCAAACTAAAGGGCGGGTTGGCGCCCAATGGTAAGGCTTGCCGTTAGCGGCCCTGTGGTGCAAGTTCGAGTCCCGGCAACACTCTCTCTAGAAATAGGGGTAAGACTGCATACACCTTGTCCTCCCCAAACCCTGCTTTAGTGGGGGCTTCGTGCACTGGGTTACCCCTTTAATGGACTTAATAATTTGGGTGATATCCTCCCCTCCCTTTCCATGTAATTTTCATTTTTGTAACTTTCTTTTTTTTAGCTATCTATTCATTATACGCACCGTTCTGAATATTGAACTGGGTGAAAGCTGGCTTAATCTGTATGCAAACCAAGACAAACCTACTTATGCTACCAAGTTAAGTGAATTACAAACTGATTGAGGCGAGCAAAAGTAGGAATTTATGCGTTAACAGTATGACCGCAATGCACTGCGTCTTTATCTTTCTCGTCATTGTTTGCTTTTGATTCTTAAGCTCATTCCTTGTACATTTCTGGTGGATGTTGATCAAACCATATACTAATGCAGGATTTGCAAGATATATTGATAAAGCTGAGAGAGGAATATCAATACTGCCTCTTCTGTGGATGTCAAGTAAGTAGTGACAATAATGCTCTCTACCACAAAATCATCTTTGCAAAGGTTGCCATATTTCTTGTACTGATGATAGTTTCTCTTCCATTTCTCAGTATGAATCAATGGAAGCACTCTTATCCAATTGCCCAGGAACAAATGAAGATGACCATTGAAAGATTGTTCCAAATAACACGAATTTGTTCCACTACACAACTTCCAGAAGAAGATGCTACTTTGCCCAAGTTAGGTATGGATCGATTTGTCCTCGATGGAAGGTTGTTATTTCAAGTGGGTGATTTTTAACTGATCTGATAGTCTCTTTCTAAGAATGCTCAAAAGCAGAAGGCAACCAAACCAAGCTTTCAGACATCAAAGTGATCATCAGTTCAGTTGATGTAAAGGAGGAAAAAAACACCATACATATGCATTTTTCGGTTCAAACCAAGCTTTGCAGGGGAGGACAGTGTCTGCTGGGCTCCCCTCACAACACGAGCAATTTTTGTACATGAAAAGGACCTCCTTGCATGTTTAATGACAGTGCCTTGTGTTAAAAACTTTGGCAAACATGGACTTATCTTGGTGTTTGACTTGAAAGAACTTAGAAATTCATGAACTGGTATCATACTATGTTTAACAGATTCCCTATTAATATATGCAGTGTTAATTTTGTAATTCCTTAGTGGGAATGGATGATGGAGATTAATGTGTGGAATGATTGTTACATTTTTTTCACTATCGTGTCATTACTATTAAAATCAAAGATTGATGGTGCAAGTAGACATGTGGGAGAAGGCGTGACTTAGCCTGGTTTTGGGCTTATGTCTCTCCTATTTAAAGGGATCCTTCATTTTTGTTTTGTTTTGTTTTGTTTTTTTTTGTTGTTTGTTTTAATTTCAAAAGACTGAGGAGCCATTGCCAGTCCTAGTCTTGGGTAGAATTGTGTAAAATATTGTCTAATCCATTAAAATCACATTGATTTGCACCGTTTAATCCGCTAATCACATATTAAATTTTGAATTTATAATTCGTTTTTGAAATTGTTCTATTTCGCTATAGTTAATATATATATATATATATGTATATATATATTTTTTAAATCTCTAATGAAATATTAAAATAAAAATGAGAGAAATTTAAAATTGAAATTTTGTTACAAATTAGTAGTTATATATATGAAAAATATTATGTAAAATTAATTTGTATTATGGGGGTGTTTGGGAAGAAAAAAAAATAGCCTAGTTTAGGCTAAAAATCACAAAAAGACAAAATAGGCTAAAATAGCTAATAAGACAAAATATCACATCAAATCCATAATCATTTCACTTTTTCTCTCACAAACATCACATTCAACCACAAAAAAATCCAATCATCTTCCCAAACACAAAAATTTTAGCCTACTAAAATAGCCAAAAACTAAAATAGCCTACTAAAATAGTCACTTCCCAAACGAGGCCTATATATGTGGGGAAGTATTTTGAGAATGACGCTACGTGACCATGGTGCCTCTGAGATGTCGGCTGAGGTGCCATGTGGGCGGGTCATGTTTGCCGAGATGATTGCGATGTTGCCGATATTCGATGAGGTAATGCCGGAATCCAAGATACTTGGGTAAGGTACAAGAGTCCTAGATAAGAGGAGACTCTTAGTCCGAATAAGGATAAAGCTCGAGGAGTTTATTCCTATGTAACTCAGAGTTCGAGATGAGCATTGTGCTTGTGTTCTATGAAGTGAGACTTCTAGGGGACTAGGACACTGCTAGCTATAAAAGTAAGACACCATTGTGGGTCTAAGGTACGCTTTATTTTTTAGTGAATTCAGTACTTGTTTGATATCTTTGAGAGATAAGTTAATTGACTTGATTATCGGAGTGCCTTCGGGTGGAAGAACCGCCACGATATTCTCATATTCTTGTTAGCAGATGGTTGGCTTAATCTATTCTACCGTGTGCTCTTCAGCTAAGTTTCCTATTTGGTTGTGTGGTCGGAAATCAACACCCACAATTTGACGTTGTCTATGGGAACTTAGTATAGAATAGATAGCCAACAACGAACAGGAAGTGAGGATCGGAGATTGACCTTTACAGTGAGGAAGAGGAACACATGGGTCCTAATAATGGGAACAATAATGATAAAGTACAAGAGGTTGACCCCGAGACAAACAATGTTGCCAGGGGCTGAAATAGGAATAAGAAGGGTAGTCAAGATAAGTACTATCACGAAGGCGATCTCCAGGTATGGAAGGATAGGTGCCTGAGAAGAGATGAGGAACTGAAGGACATGGCAAACAAGTTGACACACTTGCAACAGTGGGCAACTTCATGATGCAGAACAACGTGATGCTACCAGCTTTTTCCCTACTACAAGACACACCTTTTTAATACTATTTTATGATTCCAACGTGATGCTACTCAGTAAATTCCCAACGTAATTGAAACATGCGAGGGAAATGGATAAAAATTTTAGTTTATATTTCATTCACATTTCCCTCATCTAACCTTTACTTTGCCTTCTCAAATTCTTACCTAAATCCATTATCCAAACACAGCCTTAATGGCACTGCATAAAATTGGCTTGATAGATTTTATATTTATTTCTTTGAAATGGTGGGAACAGATTCCATAATATAGCTTGTTCGATTAGTTTGATTAAGACTATATGAGTTTTGATTTATTTGTTTGAAAATAATTGCGAGATTGTTATCCATGTTTACACCACATATTCCAACTCTCTAAAGTTACTAAAGTTCAACCAGAATTGGAGTTTAAAATAAAATTTGCCTAGAATATCATGATGAGCCATGATGTCCTTTCCATTATAGACCACTTCTGTTTTTGTCATTGTTGAAAAGTTTATTTTTAATGATCACCTAATTGGGTAGATTAGGTGGAAAGTAGTTGAATCATGGTACGGACCATTATACAATTGTCACGATTTGTTTAGGACAAAATTTAGATGGTCTGACCTCTATAATCCTATAATTTCATTAATGATTTATGGTAACCTAAATAGTCTTCTTGTTGATTACGTCAGCTAAACAACTTCTTGCCAAAGAAGTTAAACAAATGCCATAATGTCACACTTCATACTCTTATTATGATTATTATGCTACGACTAACTTTTTGCGGTTTTACTGATGCCAGGTCATAGATGAATTCGGGTCATTCGACAAATATATCTGGAGCTTTGTGAACTACAAGCCTATAATTAGCAGATTCCGTTACCCTCGCCAGATTCCCGTTAGCTGCAGTGAATCTTACCATGAAGTTGGTTGAGTTCATTTGTAACCTTCTATTGCTTTAGATGCAGTTCATGTTTACCACTGTAAGTCATATTTATGTCAAGTGTTTTTTTCCCCTTCCCTAATCTGTTGATAGATTAAGTTGTAGATAGCCAACTGGTTTGAGGTAATTGTCACTTGGTGCTAGACTGTCAAGATTACCTTGCGATTGAATATGGATAAGCCTTGATTGCCCTACAACCTCTTAAGTACCTTCCATCTTGCTACCATCCAACACAAACGCATGCGTGAGCGCGCGCGCGCACACACACACACACACAGAGTGTATCAGTAGTCCCCTCATCTTCACTGAAATATTTGTGACTGGCCCCATAGGAGCCACATCATCTCCCATTACGGGGTCTTCACTCTCCACGTGGTAAACCCTCGGGAGTGCCTTGATATATTAAGTAATTCGTTAGGGTTATTTGCCTAGCCTAAGCAGGGGTTTATCAACCACCAAATGTGGTAGATCGGTGCACTAGTGCGCTCGATGCCTAACTGCAGCCCTAAACAAGAAATTACTGAGTCAAAATATGGGGAGCAGCCTGAGCATCGCTGAGTGACCTAGCGATCCTCACCCTTACCCTTGCTATCGCCCATGCCTAGTCGGCGGCGGAGCCAAGCCACCCTCGCCCTTAACCATGCTCACTTGGTGAGCCATGGTTCAAGACCATATAGCTTGGCTAGGACGAGCTCTTGCCTAGCCATAGCCATAGCCATAGCCATAGCCACTCTTGTTCGGTAGCAAAATGGTTCAGCTCTTAGCTTCTCCATGTTTTTCGTATTGGACACCTAGCACTTCGACAAGGGTGTGAGATATGTGTTTGATACTTTTCATCTGGCACTTCTTGTATATTTGTATTTAACACAATCATTATATATGTTGTTGTATAATTGCTATAAATTGAGTAAAATGCCTTTTTGATAACATTATTTTATATCCCATAGTAGATTAAAAATATAAAAAAATGAGTGTATCCTTAAATTTGAAGTTTGAAGGGTTCGATCTCTAGATACGCACTCGAAACCAATACTCGAGTCCATATAACATACCCTACAACGTCCTAGCTAGGACTTCTATATAACACCATCTCTATTGCCATTATTTTGACATCCTAGGCTCTGGAAGCAGGGCCTAGGTATAGTTTACAACTATTGTTTTTCAATGAATAAGTTCCTTCTATAGCAACAATTGGATATTTGAAATGAGTGGAATGGCATAATGTTCTTGAGTCAAGTTTTGAAATACTTGATCGTTACAGGTTTTAGAAAGGATTTTTTTTTTTGGATATGTAGTTAAAATTTGAATTTTATATGCAACTAATTGACTGTTTTTCTTCTTTATTTTTGTAAGGTAACGTTGAAGGGTCAAATAATCAGGACTTATCTGTTAATGTTGATACATCTGCATCCTCCCACAATGTACTTCATGGAAATACTATCAGTGCCATGGATGTTGATGTAACTGTCAACATACCATTTGCATTGGTTGATGAGATAGCTGAGGCTTCTCCTGCACCTGAAGATGGCTTACAACTTGGAGATCAAATTGTGAAATTTGGAGATCAAATTGTGAAATTTGGGAATGTGGAATCTGGTGATGATTTGTTGCCAAAGCTTGCTTCTGAAGCTCTGTCCAATCAAGACCGTGAAATACCTGTAGTGGTTTTGAGGCAAGGTGCACTTATCAACTTAACAGTCACACCGAGAGCGTGGCAGGGCCGTGGCTTACTGGGGTATGTTTGTCATTCCACTTTTACAGTGCTTCCTTTTTTGTTTAGATTTTCCATTAAGCCTTTTATACTGTCATTTCTAGCTGCATTTTGTGTGAAAATATTAGTATTTGCTGGTTGATTCTCACAATTATCGCTCGTATGTTCTCTTTAACATTTCTGTTGTGAGATATAAGATACATTTTGTCCTAGAAGATACTATTATTCCAAAATCTAGCTCCCTTATCCCTTCCAAATTTGAGAAAAGGCACTTGCAAGATGAGTATATTTTGATGAGAATGTTATTGTGAAAAATTACTTCTGTTGCAGCCTCTAAAGGTTGACTCTTTTAATGTTTGTTGGAATAGATGGTTTCTGCCCATGAGGAGCAAGCTCAATGGGGGATGTTCAAACAAATTGTAGGCTAATGATTCTTATAATTATTTTCTACATTATTAATCCTTAAGTTTTGGTCAAAGCAACCTTAAGTGGAACAGTTGACAGAACAGAGATTTTACTGTCAATTTATGTGAATTATTTGCAGATGTCATTTCCGAATCCTATGATCATTTACATGGTGCTTTGATGAATAGTGATGCTTCGGTTAGGCCAGCCAGAAGACAATGCCCCAGTAGATGTGTTCTGAACATTCACTCTCCTCTTTGCCAGTCCATAGGGGTAAAATGATGGTTACTGTCTTTTAAACTCCTTCACATATTTGGATTTTATATGTAGCATCTGTGTGAGACTTCCATTTTGCTTCATTCCTTTGTGGATTCTCAAATCCTCTTTAGTGCTTGTGGACATATCTGAAGGAAGATGTATGGATCTATTTTAATTTACTCAGCATATTTGTGTTTGAACTTTCAACTCAAAAATCTAATGGTTACCAATGACAATAACAAGAGGGAAGCATTCTAGAAAGGTTGAGGGGCTCACGGAGCTCACCACATGTCCGTTTCGGTGATTCGAAACATTTCATTTTGTAGGGCTTGCCGTGTATATCGTCTATGAAAAAAATTAGATCGATTTGATAATCGTAATCTTTTTATTTTATTATATTTGTTTATGAAAAGAATGGTTGATCTATTTTAAAAACATATGTCTATTTTTTCAGAGACTTGAGCAATAAAATAAAAACGGGTTATAATTATTAGATTATTTGAATTATTTTTTATAGACATGCATTGAGGGACCAAGTAGATCAAGAAGTGAGGGACCAAGGGATCCTGCTGTGGTGTGCTGGTGTGATATTTTCTTGAGTTTTTTTTTTTTTTTGATAATCTAAACCGTTTATGTTGTAAGATTTGTTGAGTAGATAATTTATGTAAAAATCAAATTGATTGAACATTTGTTTTCAAAAAATAAATGATTAACATAATCTTGATATTTTTTTAAAACAATTAGAATCTGATTATAGGATTGCAGATGTATGATTAATTTGATCTTTTATATGAATAATATACTTTTAGATTATCGAAAAGAATTTGAAAAAAGTCTCTACTAGGACACCACAGCAGGATCCCCTAATCCAAAAATAAGAGGGCATGGTTTAAATCAGAAACAAAGTTGGAAAATTTGTTACTTTTGTATTGGTGAGATTTTAGTCCATTTGTTAGGTTTGGAAAATGTTTCCATCTTTATTAAATAAAAAATATTTTTGTTCTAAATTAGCTCATGTTGGGTTGATTGTGAATTTATTTATTTTATTGCATCAAACATTAGAAAATAGCGAAAGTATTTTCAGTGTTAATATTCCCTTTGCATTTTATGTTTTAGGGTTCTATCAACAAAATTGGTTGTACTTTCCAGCAACCATGCAACTACTAATTTATAACTAATGTTTTCACTTGCATGAATTTTATTTGATAAATGTACACCATACAATTTGACAAAAAAATTTGAAATGTGTACAAAAAAAACATGTGTAGGATCAGAAGTGAGAGAATTTGACTTGTGTCACATGATCATCAACAACTCATAGTTGACACACCAAGGTCATATGTGTTATATTGGTCTTGTTTAGTGAAACTTCTTTTATAACTTAGGGGTCTTTTGGGAAGCATCAAAAAAGTTAATTTTTAGTTTTTTATTTATTTTGAGTCATATCATCTCTCATCATTTTTACTTACAAAAAGATAAAATAGACTAAAAAAAGTAAAAAAGTCAACCTTTTACCAACTTTTCAAAACACTCTTTATTTAGTTTTAGGAATCTTTTAGTGTATATTTCAATTATCGGATTGACTTAAAATTTTTTGTTAATGGCCCTGATAATCATTGGTAAATAAGTAGATACTTTAAGATGTTATTGGACTTGTTTAATGTAAGTTCAATTTTTTATTAAAATTTATTGAAATTATTTTACTTAATAAGCATAAATTGTATCAAATAGTCTAGCACAGACTTTTAAAATAATTTTTTTTGAGAAATTACAACAACAAAAAAAAAACCGTGGTTTAACTCTTGTAACAAAATAAGCCCTCAATTTTTAATTTTATCAATTTAAATCCTAAATTTTTTATTTTATTTTCAATCTAAACCATCTGCCTATTTCCATTAAGTAAAATTGATGAAAAAAATATATTTTAGTCATTAAACTTAATAAATCAAATGAAAAAAAAATAGAATTTAAGTTAACAAAATTAAAAACTCAAGATTTATTTTGTTGCAAGGGTCAAACTTCAGAGTTTTCTTAAAAAAATTAATTTTCTCTAATGTTTTTGTAAGTAACTCTAATAAGTTACACTGAATAGCTTCAATTGTTGATTTGGTACTCTTGATCAACAAAAAATTATAGCACACATTAAGTGAGTTATTCTTTATTAATGGTGTTAATGGTGTTGTTGTTGTATGCTGTGAAAATTCACAGGCATTGACACTCTTTGGCCAATTCTATTGTTGTTCTTGTTGTTGCAAGATGTGAACATTCACATTGCCTGAAAATTGTAGGACATTCAGATATTATTGGTTTATTTTGCTCTAGGCTGTGAACATTCGCATTGCCTGAAAATTTTAGGACATTCAGATATTATTGGTGTTGTTGTTCTATGCTGTCAACATTCACATTTCCTGGAAATTTTAGGAGAGTCAGATGTTGGTGGTGTTAATGTTCTACGATGTGAACATTCACATTGCCTGAAAGTTTTAGTTCAATCAGATATTATTGGTGCTTTTGCTCTAGGTTGTGAACATTCACATTGTCTGAAAAATTTTAGATGAGTCAGATATTATTGGTGCTGTTGTTCTATACTGTCAACATTCACATTGCGTGGAAATTTTGGGATAGTCAGATATTGTTAGTGCTGTAGTTCTAGGCTGTGGACATTCAAATTGCTTGAAAATTTTAAGAGAGTCAGATATTATTGGTGATGTTGTTCTATGCTGTGAACATTCACATTGCTTGAAAATTTTAAGACAATCAGATATTATTGGTGCTGCTCTTATATGCTGTGAACATTCACACAGACTGAAAATTTTAGGACAATCAGATATTATTGGTGCTGTTGTTATATGCTGTGAACATTCACATGGATTGAAAAATATTGGGCCAATGAATAGGGATATTTAGATTCTTTTCCCCCTATTGCGAATGTTTGCCTTGTTGGTATTGTTGATTGTTAATGGTGATCCAATAAGTTGATCCATCATTTTATACATGTTCTTCAATGATGTTCATGGTTGTATAAAAATGCATTGTTTACCACACACTGACACGATATGTTCATTGTGTTTGTCGTGACACAGTCGAAATACACATTCATGTACATATGTGAATGTTCACAACCACACATAAACTCTGGTGATTCACACCCACGCACACAACTGTGAACATGCACATCAGTGGAAATGTTGTGAATGTTCACATCTGTTCCACTATGCTAATCACATGAGCCTTCACTTAATTTTTTTTAAATGCTCCATTTTGCAGATGTCGCACAAAAGAAAACCGGAAAGAGAAAAAGAGATGAGTACCATGTGAAGGAAGAAACCCCAAAAACAAATACTTGCACCAATGTCGACATGCACCATGTGAACTACAGATCTAATATGACCGGACTGGTCAAATTAATGAAAACCACCAAGTTCACAGAAGCACAGCTTCGGTGCCTTCAACAAACACCTTTTTGGAATTTGTTTGATGTATTGAGAAACAATCAGATCGACCTTGATAAATGCATGAAGTATGATGATGTTGTTGTGCATGTACTACAAATGTACCAAGCTTCAGAAGATGCCTTCTACATTGGGCAGAAGAAGATGAAAATACACAACAGCGACATCAAGCTGATTTTTGGTGTGGACTGTGGCAGCAAGCCGATGGACATATCATACGGTGCGAAACCAAAGACTGGCATTATAAACAGAAGATGCGAAAACGTCAGCCGGTTGACTTCAAAAATGGATACGCACCCTTTTGACCGAGGCATTGAAAGGAAAAAAGAAAGATGACAACGAAAAAGTTGCCCGACTAGTGTGCATGTATGCTTGCCAGAAGCTTTTTTTCTCAACAAGCGGAGAGACAATAGGATGGGGCTACTACGCACATATGGTCCCACTGGAAAGCATGTAAGAATATGATTGGGCCAAGCAAATTAGGACAGTGTTGACATCGTCTATTTCCCAAAATGACAAAAATCCAGAAAAAGTCACCGGCTGTGTCATGTTATTGATGGTAAGTACCCATGTTTTCAAATAATAACATTCACATGTCCTCCAGTTTTGTTCATCTAAACCAACTATGAACATTGACATCTGCACCACTGATGTGAATATCCGTAGGCAATTATATTTCACAGATGTGAATGTTCACATCTGTGAAATATTGATGCGAATGTGCACATTCACTCATAATATACTACTGTGAATGTTTACAACACTGCTCCGTAGGCAATTATGTTTTCACTACTGTGAATGTTCACATCTGAAGCACTGATGTGATTGATCACATTCACTCATAACATACTACTGTGCATGTTCACAACAGTGCCACAGCACTTATGTTTCTGTCATCATTCACATCAGTGATTCAAATGTGAACAGTGTGAATGTTCACATATCAATGATAATGTACTACTGTGAATGTTTACGACACTGCTCCGTAGGCAATTATGTTTTCACTACTGTGAATGTTCACATCTGAAGCACTGATGCGACTGATCACATTCACTCATAACATACTACTGTGAATGTTCACAACAGTGCCACATCACTCACGATTCGCAGATGTGAATGTTCACATTCAATGATAATGTACTACTGGGATGTTCACAACAATGCCACTGTGATTAATATTCACATAGGTTGCCATTACTCTGCAAATGCTAAATAACAATATGCGTTTCTTGTTTTATTGAAGTACTGGTTGTGTGAGCACACAACCGTCCTACAACCTCACAGACCCAATGCTTTTCCTCGCTGTATGAAGTGGGATCTGACTGCTTTGCAGAAGAAGATGAAAACCACCTCTTTAGCTGATTTGGGTTTTAATGAGGTAGGGCCTTCAACTACTGATCAAAACATTCACATTATAACACCACCCAAATATATGCGTTAAGTAACATATTTTTTTCATTTTCAGGTTAATGCCGGTGAACTCTTTGCAATCCCAACAGAATTACAAAAGTTTAAGCGTAAAACATTGAAGGTGGAGCCTGAAATTTATGAACCAGCCATAACATCTCCCAACCTTTCTGACATCAAGGGAGAACAACACAGTGGCAGCAACTCCCAATTTTCTGGCGATGGGGTGGACCTGAAGGACAGTAATAAGGACATTCACATTCCATTTAGCAGCCAACATTATGACAGAGCTATTGTAATACCAAACACAAACCAACCTGATATCATTGATGTGCTTATCCAAGAAAATCGGAAGGCTTGGGGCGTCATCAGGCAATGGGAAGCAAAGTACAAACACCTTCA